TTTGGTGGCAGTTTTGGAAGGTGCTAAAAGCTTAACAAGTACTTGGCGATGGGAGACAATACTCTGGTTTCACCTCAAGTGATGGGAAGATAAACTCTAAAAGATAAAATATTTTATACTACGGCAGAGGATGTAGCTCAGTTTTTAGAGTGCTTGCCTAGCATGAACAAAGCCCTAGGTTCAGTCCCCAGGACTGCATCAAACTGGTTGTAGAAGCCTGGCATAGTGGTGCATGCCTTTAATCCCAGCACTCAGGAGGCAGAGGCAGGCAGATCTCTGTGAATTCGAAGCCAGCCTGGTCTGCATAGCAAATTCCAGGCCAGCTGGGGCTACAGGAAGACCCTGTCTCAAAAACAAAACAAAACAAAACTGGTTATGGAGGCACACGCAAGTAATCCTAGCACTAGGGAGGTGAAAGGAGGATGATCAGTTCAAGGTCATTCTTAACTACTTGAAGCCCTATCTTTAAAAAAAAGTATACTAGCCAGGAGAGGTCTTTAATCCCAGCACTTGAGAGGCAGATCTCTGTAAGATTAAGGCCAGCCTAGTTTATATAGTGATTCCCAGGCTAGCTGGGGCTACAGGGAGACCTGTCGAAAGAGAGAGAGAGAGAGAGAGAGAGAGAGAGAGAGAGAGAGAGAGAGAGAGAGAGAGGCTAATCAAACATTTTTCAAAAAGGACAAGCTTTCTAAACAGATAATGCAGGATTATCTCATATAGAGGCACATGAAATTTGAGCTCACAAGGAAACATTTCAAAACATAGGGAAAGCTGAGCAAGAGTTAGCAGAGGTGTCAGACAACATGATTACATTTCCGATAATTTTATTTAACCCCTGTGTATACCTTATAAGATATATTTAATATAACAAAGCAATAGAGAATTAAAAAGAAGAGCGGCAGGGCAGGAGCGATGGCTCAGTGGTTAAGAGCACTGGCTACTCTTGCAGAGGACTCAGGTTCAGTTCCCAGGACCCACATGGTAGCTAATAACAGATAACTACAGGTCTGGGGATCCAATGCCCTTTTCTGGCCTCTGCAGGCATTGTATGCATGTGGTGCACTTACATGCATACAGGGAAAACATTAATACACATAAAATAAAAATAAAAAATGAAAAATCCAGGCACGATGGCATACTCCTTTAATCCTAGCACTCGAGAGGCAAAGGCAGGCAGATCTCCATCTGCATCCCAATCAGGACTCTCTCCCTTTTTCCCCTTGGAAAACTGGCCCCCCAGTTAGGGAATGGCTTACCCCAGGCAGAGCAGAGCCAGCCTAGAAGACGATGCTGAGGTGGTTGCAGATGGCATCTGTGCCTCTCTGTGTAGGCTTAGGGTTATTAACCAGAGTGGGTAAGGGCAGGAAATGCAAGCATTTGATGGCCATCCTAACAAACCAGCATCTGACCACAGGATGCACAGAACAACAGGAAACCCAGCTCCCTGTCTGTGTGCAGATAGAAATGCCCTCTGGAGGCCAACCTTCTAGAAGGACCTGTTTGCAGGCTGAAGGCCTCACTGAATGCCCAGCACAAGGTGACTTGGAGTTTGTGTCCAGGTGGCTGCTCTAGGCCCACCTCTGCTTCTACTGTCATGTGACTTTGGGCAAGTCCCTCTTCCTACCTGGGAAGTGACAATAACAATACAATGCCCGTTTTCCTTGGGGACGCCAAGTGGGCTGAGGACTTTCATGGTAGTTTTTGAAGCTGGAAATAGCAAATTCTTTTTGATCCTTTCAAAGTGTATAGGACTTAATGCCTCTTTAAATATATATATATA